TAAATGCCTGTTGGTTGCAGCTGAGTTATTTTTGACTTTTCAGTTGCACCAAGCTGTGCAGAATTTTTTATTTTTCAACAAAATCTGCTTTTTGTTTTATTTTTGACAAATTTTCAAATGAGACTTGAGGAATAAAGATTTGAATCAATATGATTTTAAAGGCAAATATGGTTCAGTTGTCTCATGCACATCACAGATGATTAGTTCAATCAATTTGAACTGATGTAATTGTTTTTGTCCATTTTTTCTAAGGACAACATGCCTTTCAAATCCACTGACATGTTTTGCGGTTGTACGAGTGGGTTGAATGATTCAATATAAAGTTGTTCTTGTGTTGCTTCTTTTTCTCTGTATAAATACATACATGACTTCCAACTACTCTCATTGTCAGCAGGATTTCTTCAACTATTTCTATGCTTAAAAACCAAAAAAGACGTTATGCAAAGAGCTACTTGTTTGTAAAATGTTCTGCAAATCAGTTTAAAACAGAAGTCACTGGTTTCTGAGGACAGATTTTGCTGCAGGACTCAACCGTCAGAAACTCAAGTAAGTAAGTGAGTAAAGTCACGTTTTTCCACCTGAGCCCCAGAAGCCTGAATGAAATCTGTGAAATAACTAAAAGTGTTTGAACTCGCTCGAGAGGAATAAAGTTTCAGAACATTCAAGCTTCTTGATCAGCGTGAATCAAAATTCGAAACGAGGTCTGAGGACCTTCAAGGGATTTTTCCATCATATCGATCCAAAGTCACACGTAGTTAATCTCATCAGTGCAGAGCTGACGATGTCCTGCAGGCAGCTCTTCAATTCAAAATCCCAGCCAGCCAAAAATCAACCCCAAAAGCAGCTAAAGCACATCAGCACGCTCACGTTGTCAACATACAGCACAAACTGTGGTAATCAGGTCACACACAGACTGTAAAGTAATTATGAAGCGATCTGTCTGAGAATGAGCGATGATATTTTTACAGAAACAAACACGCGGGATGTTGATCAGAGGGCTGCTAATCTACACACGACTAGAAAGGAAAAGGAAACACAAGAGAGTAATGATTAAAATCGTCCTAACGACTCATAACCATGACAACAAACACAAATCTACCCACATGGAGGCCCACAGCTGAGCTTTAACACAAAGATCAGAAGTCTGGACTCTCATTGTTGTAAATTCTTCGCTCGTTTACAGTCATTAGAGTCTGATATGATGCAGGGTGTTGTTAGCACGCCATGTGTTCTTAGCAACAAACTCTGGACTGAATTTTTGTTGTTGGTTGAGGAAAAAAAAAACGCCCTTTCTGCTCTCCAGTTAGGGCTGAGTTCCTGTACTCTAAAAACCTGCACAGCTGCAGAACTGGACACATCAGTAAAAGTCTAAACTTACTGACAAATGACACCTAATATTAGAAATTACACCCAGACGACCAAGAGGTGGCTCAAATCCATAAACCTTTCTTTCACAAATCATCACATTTTACGTGTCAAGGCCAATTCTGCCGTTTGTCCTCCTGATAGAGTTCACTGTTAGTGTTTGTCTGCGTATTTTAAATCAGTCTAGCAAATACAAAAATGGAAGCGAATATTGTTAATGTAGAACTACACAGAAAAAAGAGGAAAAACTGAAACATTTGATCAGCTCAGATGCCAAAACATTACTCTAAAATAACAGAAAA